GCCTAAATCATCTAGAATTTCTTGCTCTTGAAGATAATCATCCATGGAGTACAGATTAGCAGGGTCCATGCTGTCATCTCCATCCATGGCAGCAAAGGATAGCAGCGGGTAGCAGAGAAGAAAGGGAAGCAGTAGCAGCGTGTAGCATATAAGAAAGGGAAGCAATGACTATAAGGTACCGTGGCTGTGCTATATATAGTCACAATTGCCGTGGAAGCAATGACTACAAGGTATGTTTTTCAGTTCACACTTGCATGCTATTTCAATTCACACTTGAATGCTATTTTAGTTGAATGCTATTTCAGTTGCATGCTATTTCAGTTCACAATTGCCGTGGAAGCAATGACTACAAGGTATGTTTTTCAGTTCACACTTGCATGCTATTTCAGTTCACACTTACAAGGTATGTTTTTCAGTTCACACTTGCATGTTTCATTTGGGTAATTTCATTTGATGCAACCATATCTCAGTGCGATGTTTATCTGTTCTCAGATTCTGGAAGGGTTCAATTAGATGGTAAAAATGTTAAAAAGTGTACGAAAAGATGTTAATAATAATACTCTAGAGATATAGATGTTTTTCATAGTTGTCATAACCTTCCACTAAAGTCAGACATGTGCCTTGAGTTGTAGGATGGATCCAGGCCGCACGATTGAGTTGAAGCTTAGCAGGGATGTTTGTTAGCCCTTGATTTTAATGAAGATAAATTGTTGTGTGCATTTTTTCAGGGTGCATGAAGTTAGAGTCCCTCAGCGGGACGTTTTTTCTTGGTAGACCTAAATTTATTTAAGTTTTCAATTATAGCGGAGATAATAAGCCATAAATAGATTATAATAGTCCTGTTTATAATTGAGTTATAATTATCCAAATGTAATCAGACATGCCATATGTTATGCTCAAATTATATTAAGAAGTCGTTCACACAGGCCATCCTACCCAGATGGGCCGGCTATGGCTCATCTCTATTGTAGTGTTGTGTCTTTTCCCATACGCAGACAAGCACGGCTTTGGTTTGGGCATTAGTGAGATGAAGGGACCATAGTTAATTACTACTAGAACTAGACGGGGCTTGGTCAAGAGGTAGCTCGGTTCGTGCTTTGCTTGGTCTTCACCCAGTTGATATTGTTTTTACTTCCTGGCGTGGCATCGCTTGGCCAAGTTGCCCACCTGCCACCACTGGACTGTGTGGTCCTGCACTCATCACACGGCTTTGCGGATAGAGGTATAGTTTTCCAAATGGGCCAAGCCCGCTGGGCCAACACGGGCACGGTACAATTTGGCCCGGTACGAAAACAGCCCGGCCCGGCAGCTACCGTGCCCGTGCCAAGCATGGCACGGCCCGTGCGCGTTCGATGCACGGGCGCGATGCCAAAGACGATGGCACGGCCCGCTTCGCCGGCGGCCGCCGCGACGGGCAAAGACGGCCTCGAGTCGTTGGATGGAGCCCCCCCCCCCGCCTGCTGACCGTTGGATCTAGGGGTCGGGTGGGATGGCTATATAAGCCAGCCGCCGCGGCGCTGCTCCTGGCTCGGAGCCTTTCCAAACCCTATCTCATTTCGTCCCCTGTCCCCATTCCAGCCGCATCAAGCTCTCCGCCTCTCCCATCGCCTGAAACCCTAGCCGCTCTCCTCTCTTCTTCCCACTGTCCGGTGGCTGGTTAAGGCGGCGGTTGCTGGCACGAGCACACGGCACTTCTACACCACTCTTCCTTCTCCCTGACCATCGATGTAGCTTTCTCGTCGAGATCCACCACCGTTCGTCTTCGTCTCTGTCTCGTCGCTCTCATCGACGTCGTCGGAGTCCGGCATCATTGGGGCTCCGCTCTGATGCGTTGAGGTACCAGGGTGTCGGGTCTTTGCGACGTCGTCGTCGCCGTTGTCTCTGGTGCTCCGTCAAGAGAGGTGAGCCGTAACCCTAGATCTGTTCATTTTTGTTCTTCTTGATTTCTTCATGATCTTCTATTAACCCTAGGTGTTCTTGTTGTTCTTGGTTTTGGTAGGCGTTGGCGTTGAGGGACCGGAGGCCGGCGACGACGAGATGTCGGACGAGCAGGAGGACATCGGTCTCTCCATGACCATCAACAACGAGCTGCACCTCTGCGGGATGACCGGAGACGACAAGGACGATGTCGCTGGGGATGCCGAGGAGCTCTTCGGCCGTCGTGCTGCCGAGGAACTCTACGGCCGTACTGCTGCTGACCCACTTCCCGTCGATGACACTGATGCCCCCAACACCGGCGGCGCCGTCCAGGACGCCACCGCTGCTGATGATGGCTCCAGCAGCAGGCCTAACCGCCCTTCTACCTTAGTATGCTGGGAAGATTTTGAGAAGCTCACCAAGAAGGTAAATGGTAAGGTTGTCAGGTATGGCGCTCGGTGTCTTCACTGTCGTAAGGAGTATTCTGCGTACTCTAGATTTGGGGCTGGCCACCTTCTCCGTCATCAAGACTCTTGCCCTAAGAAACATGAGAAATGTCGCATGGCTCAGTCCCACATTACTTTCAATAAGGACGGTACTATGTGTAATTGGGAGTATTCGGCTAAGGTTGCTTGTGTTCAGCTTGTTCGTTTGCTTGCTAGGTTAGATCTTCCCCTTCGTCTTGGGAAAACTGAGGCCTGGGAAGATTACATAAAAATGCTCATAACCCTAGGTACACAACTGTTTTTAAGCAAACTATAGCTAGAGATCTTTTTAAGTACTTCAATGAAAAACGTGATCGTTTGATTGATGATTTGAAGAGTAATGCCATTTCATCTGTTGCTATTACCTCTGATATCTGGTCTGGAAATGCAAAAGAAGATTATTTGAGTGTTGTTGGTCATTACATTAATGCTGATTGGCAACTTGAAAAAAGGGTGCTTGGCTTAAGGCTTATTGATGCATCACATAATGCTGATAACATTGCTGAACGTGTTAGTAATGTGCTTAATGATTATGGTATATTGAAGAAGGTTTTTTCTGTTACTTTGGACAATGCCTCTGCTAATACTAAAGCTATGGATAAACTAAAACCTGTACTTAGAGAGTATTTGGGTGTTGATCTGTTTTTGTATCAACGCTGTGCTTGTCATATCATAAACCTGATTGTTAAAGAGGCCCTGGTTGCTGTTAGTCATATGCTTGATGCTTTCAGAACTGCTATATCATTCATTAACTCTTCTAACCAGAGAGTTGCTGCATATAAGAGCTATTGCATGGCATCTGGTATTAGACCTAGGAAGTTTGGATTGGACATGGAGGTTAGGTGGAACTCTACCTACTTGATGCTTAGGCATTTGCTACCACACAAGGAAACTTTCTATACTTTCATTGAGTCTAATTATCCTAGAAAAAGAGCTGACTCCTTTCTTTTGACTCATGAGCATTGGGCTATGGCAACTAAAATACTGGAATTTCTTGAACTGTTTTATGACTCAATAGTTGCTTTGTCTGGTGTGTACTATCCTACTGCCCCACTTATGGTTCATCATATTGTTAAGATTGCTATACACCTACATAGGTATCAAAATGATGAGCATATTAGAACTGTTGTCCAACCTATGATTGATAAGTACAATAAATATTGGAGAACCATACCTGAACTTTACTGCATTGCATTTATCTTGGATCCAAGAGCTAAAATTAAAGGTTTTAACAAAGTTCTTATAAAGTTAAATTTGCTTACTGATGCTGATTATTCTAATAAGATGGTGGAAACTAGAACTCTTCTTTTCAAATTGTATCACAAGTATGATGATTTGTATGGCTCTGTTAGGGCGAAAAGGCCTGACCCTTCAAGCCTATCTGGTAAGAAAAGAACAGCTTGGGCTGAGATATATGATGATGATGATGATGGTGGTGGTTTGCTTGGAGCTGGCTGTTCTTCTCTTCCTCCTAATCTTGATATGTCCAGGACTATTCCTGCTACTACTTTGTTACATGCAGCAAGTTCATCTAACACTGGTTCTGAACTTTCCGCTTATCTGGACTGTGACACAGTTAGCCAGATGGATGATGACTTCAACATCTTGAATTGGTGGCATCAGCATAAACTAACATATCCAGTTCTTTCTACTCTTGCTAGAGATGTTTTCAGTGTGCCTGTTTCTACCATTTCTTCTGAAGCTACTTTTAGTACCACTGGCAGGATCATTGAAGACCGGCGGCGGAGGCTGAATCCTGAAACTGTGGAGGCACTCACATGCATCAAGGACTAGGAAGCTGTAGAGACAAGGCTACAACATATGGTGGAGGATAAGGAGCTCGAGGAGGCCTTTGAACAACTTTAACTTGATTAGTTATTTATGTAATAGTTCTGTAATCTTAAGACTTGGATGCTTTGGACCTTTGGCTGTGGATGTAATGAACAATTGAACTTATGGAGCTGGTTGCACTCTTTTTTCCTGTCTAGGGTTTCTCACAAGGATGAGTTTTACCTAGACAGGTTTTTAATGAGGCGGCCATTGCACAGCTCCTTTAATTTGGTATTTTGTTATCTCTGTCTTGTGTTTTCTTCTTTGTGATTTCAGATTTATTAGATTTCAAGTTTGTTTTTGAACTGTTCTTTTGATTCTGATCTGTTGAAGTGGTGATATGGTTTTAGTGTCAAGGCACGACACTAATCCGCTGGGCTGCCGTGCCCTGTGGCACGGCATGGCACTATTTGAGGACTTTAGTGCCGTGCCTGGGTCAGAGTCTAGGCACGGTGGCACTACACGGCACGGCACGGTAGTGACACCGTGCCTAATAGTGCCGTGCTGTATAGTGCTAGTGCCGTGTAGTGTCAGTGCCGCCCGTTTGGAAAACTATAGATAGAGGTGGACCGGCCGAAATAGAAAAACCGAGGGAGAGTTGGTCAAGGGAAGTGGTTACGGAGGAAAGTGGAATTATCCTCGAGCATTAGTGAGATGAAGGGACCATTATTGCGCCAACCATCTGCGAGCAATTATCCTCGGAATTGGCATCTCCAACACCACCGCGCATGCTAGCAATCCACTTTAAGCGAGTGCTTTCGAGTCGAGATGGCCGGATTGATGGCGAGCACCGCCACGGGCGTGTTGGGCTCCGTCATCGACGAGCTGGCCGCCATGCTCACCGACAAGTACAACCTCGCCACAGACGTCAAGCAAGGGATCCGCTTCCTGCGAGACGAGCTGAGCACCATGGATGCCGTGCTGCGGGTGCTCGCGGACAAGGACGACGACCACATCCATCCACTCGCCAAAGACTGGAGGAGCAAGGTGCGTGAGCTGTCCTACGACATTGAGGATTGCGTCGACCGTTTTGTGCTCAATCACAGCCATGGAGATGGAGGTTCCACGGCCAACTTTGTGCACAAGTTCTTTGACTTCTTTCAAAAGGTGAAGACGCTGTTCAAGGACGGAGGAATAGCAGAGGAGATCTGAGAACTCAAGAGCCTCGTCAGCGAGCAGAGCGAGCGGGAGAAACGCTACTACGACATCAATCAGTGTCTCCTTGCCTCGTCATCTCAACCAGTGCTCTTGGATCCTCGAGTACCTGCACTCTTTCAGGAGACCAGGGATCTTGTTGGAATCGATGCGCCTCGTGAGGAGATCATCAGCTTATTGAGATGTGAAGACAAGGAGCACAAGGTGGTGTCCATCTATGGGATAGGTGGACAGGGGAAGACCACTCTCGCCAGGGAGGTACAAAAAATCACTGAAGCTGCTTTTGATAGCCGGGCTTTTGTGTCTGTATCACAAATTCCAGATATGAAGGAAATTCTTAGAGATATATTGTCTCAAATAAGCAAGAGCCATTTTGACCGGTCACAGGAGTTAGACACAGTTGAGCAGCTCATCCGCACAGTGAAAGAATGCTTAAAGGACAAGAGGTAATCAATATTATTTCTTTTTCTAATAGTTAACCAGTTCATCTAGCTAGAATAATGTCGTGCAATATTTGTTCATCACATGAGCTCACCTATTCATTAGGCTATTTATGAAATTTTCTGGGAATTTTAAAAAATGATTCATTTTTTCCTGGCCTAATGAACTTGACAGCATTAAACTACCTCAGATACTTCAATGGCCAGCAACGCACGGTGAGATCGTCGGTCTTGTTATTGTCGGCGGCCGTTGCCTGTAAGGTCGTGACCGCCGCATCGACGCTAGAAGATATCTAGTCTAGTTCTGAATAGTGTCAGCTGACAAATCATCGGTGGCCGTTGGCTGCAGAAATTCACTGCGCTCCCGGTGCGATTCTTGGACTTGCTGTAGTAATGTCACTGGTGACTTTCCATCACCTGGATGGCATCTATTTCTCATCCCACGGTTGAAAAGCTCTTCGCTTTTTTTTTTGTAGAAACAACTCTTCACTGTATTAGTGCTAGCCGGGATGCAAATAGCAGCCCATACAAAGATCAGTTCCCGGAACTACGTACAGAGCAGGGATAGTTGGCATAATTTACTTTCTTCTGTGCAGCTTATCTTTTCAAAACTTTTACACATGAGCTTGGATAAATATAAAATTTATTTGAAAATTCTAGTCCTGAAAAATATCTACAATTATACTATCTGACTTTTTCATTTAAAATCATTTTGTGTGAAATTTGCCTCAAATTATCTACCATTACATGGCACTTCAAAAAATTATAACTTTTTAAATAATCTTGTATGAAGATGAAATTTATAAAATAATCTTATTTCTCAATAATATATACGTCCTTTTAGTTCACAATGTTTCTATTTGAATCTATCTTGGCACTGAAATAAAGATAAAAATTTATATGCTCACACAACATCTACAACCCAACTAGTTGAAACCAAACCATAACTCATTTAAGACCACAGACACGGCTATCCAGATAGACTATACACTCTTCAGAGGTTGTACACTTTTTTCAAAAGTAGGATATTATCGCTATAGTGTGCTAGATATATTTCTGGGTGAGGGGACCGGGACGGATATAGTTGGTGGATATAAGTTGAAAGAAGATTAAAATAGAGCTCAAATGATTTATAGTTTTTGAAATAAAATTTAAAAATAATTTTGAGTACATGGGATTTTGAATTTGACTTTTCGTAGTGTTATCCTAAACGATAAACAATCGGTCACTTGCCATTTAGCCATTATTCGGTCTAAATGTCCAATTAAACGGGCAAAGCGGTCATTTGAATGGGCGAAACGGCTTATTAAACGGAAATGGTGTATGTAGCGTTTACATGGTGTGTAAATGGGCTAAACGATTGTTCAGACGAGCAATGAATTAAAAGGTTATATATATTATTGAGAAGTAAGATTATTTTATAATTTTTATCTTGATCCGAGATTATATAATTTTTTTTTGAAGAAGTGTTGTGTAACGATAGATAATTTGAGTCAATTTATTCAAACAAAATGATTTAAATGAAAAAGTCATATATTATAAAGTTGTAGATATTCTTGAGGACTATAATGTATAAATTTTATCTTTAGCCAAGCTCATACGTAAATGTTTTTATTTATATATAGAAAACATAAGCTGTACAGAAAAAAGAAAAATTTGCCAACTATCCTTGCTCTGTCTAGGAATTGAGCTTTAAATAGGCTGCTATTTGCATCCCGGCTAGCACTACTAAATTGAAGCTTTCCAACCGTTAGATGAGAAATAGATGGCATCCAGGTGATGAAAAGTCATCAGTGACTTCACTACAGCAAGTTAGAGAATCCACGCCGCTGCGGTCCGTGCTCACAAGTGTTACGGGACATTATATTGGATCAAAGAGCCTTTTTCAGGCATGCGTTGTTTACGGAGAGGCAAAGTTACGGTGGTCTGGTGAGAGCTATTAGGCCAAAAATTTCACTTGTATGAGCATCCTTAGTAGATCTTAAACATCGGTACTGGTTGGTTTGACTCGTTAGAATTTCAATAGAGGTCCACATGGACAAGAAAAATGTACGCGAATGTCAGCATTCAAGATGCTGCAAGGGCTACATCTAGGCCACATCTAGGCCTTGTTTAGATTGCCTCAAAATTTTAAGTTTTTTCATTCTCTCTCTATCACATCAATTTTTGGACACATGTATGGAGCATTAAATGTAGGTAAAAAAATAACTAATTACACATTTTGGTTGTAAATCACGAGATAAATCTTTTGAGTCTAGTTAGTCCATAATCAGACAAAGTTTGTCAAATACAAACGAAACGTGCTACAGTGTCCAGATTGCAAAAATTTGCAATGTAAACAAGTCCCTACTTGTTCTGTCTTCGCAAAAAAAAAGTACTTGTTCTGCACCAGGGATGGTGAAGGACGCGCCAGCACGAGGAAAGAGAGGCGATCGCCAAAAAGGGCCGGGCGCACTCTGAAGCTGTACCACGCGCGCGTACGAAGCAAACGGGTCATCAAGCCTAACCCAAAATACGTAGGCGGCGACTGGGCTAGAGAGTTTCAGAGAGGAGGGAGGTGTATATAGAACTGGGGAAAACAGATTACAAGGACCTGGAGATGGGCTTATGATCAGATAATGAATTCGCCTAATATCTATACTACCATAGGTAGATCTTACAATGAACTTTTCGTTGTCCTATTCGTGGGCACCACACGCACACAGGATCAACATCCCACGTGCCTCAATTGTTCTTAACTTTGATTAAGATCAACATTCTATTCGGGACAGGACAGTAGTGGTAATGCGCAGCGACCTCACCTTGGAATGTAGCGGCGGCAACGCCGCTCGAGCTCTCCACCGCGTTCGTCCACGAGCTGCCAGGTATGGAGGTGCCGGCTCTTCCCTGTAGGCTACTTCTTATGGCTCGTAATAAACGATAATACTACCGTTAAGACATCTGTAAGGTCAGACGCCTCGCTCCACTTAGTGCCGCATGCGCTGCTCGTCTGATAAAAAACAAAATCAACTCTTGCACACCTTGCTCCGCTCCACTTCGCTCCCGCTCGCAGCGCTCGGCTCCGCTCCCGCATGCGGCGCTCGACTGCCAGCCCTACCAGATGGGCATGCGCGGCTACCCTCTCATGGTTTCGGCGCGTGGCTGCTTGCGAGTCACGGCGGCGCGGTGGCCGGCCCTGCCAGGCACGCAGCCGCCTGTGAGTCGTGGCGCTCGGCTACTGGACCTGCCTGGCGCTCTTTTTTCGTTAAAAAAAAGGATTGTACGCTCTTTATTTTACACATTGCCACGCCAACAATGTTTCCCTCTCACAACAAACCAACACCAGCCAGTTTAAACCAGCCCAGAAATCAACCAAGCAATTCTCTGTCAAGTTCCCTTTTAGTTTAGCTTTGCCTTGTTGTCTGTACTCGCCACCAACCATGGCCGTGTAACAATAGTTTATCTTTGCATCATTTCGTCATCTCCTCAAAGTCATTTACATATCTTTTATTGTCGTACAGTCGTACGTCTGTGTCTCGGTGATAATATATGCTAGTTTAAATCTGAACTAGGCTATGGACATATGATGACCTGATTAGCAAAATGATGTGACCATGACCTTGAGCAAATCCAAATCCATGGGAAGAGAACGGGAGAGAGAAGACCCGGGACTGGGTTTTGAGGCCACCCGCAACTACCCCGAACTGAAGCTGTAGCCCCGTTCGCTGGAAGGAATTTTGGAGAAATTTTAAAGGAATTTAGAAAAATTTGGAGAAATTTATGAGAGAAAAACACTGTCCAAATAAAAAAAAAAAAAAGCGGATTAAGCCGGATTTAAGGACAGAGCCGTAGCAGTAGCTTCCAAAGACTTGACCACTGGGCAAATACCCTCACGGTACGAGCAGGAGGTCCCACACCAAGGGATCCAATGGGACGCGGGAGAGAAACGACATAAATAAATGCATATTTGCTTTGGATTAACGTGTGTTTGATTGTGGCCAAAAACTAGTATATTCAAAATAGCCAAGTTAAAATTTGACACTTGTGATTAATTTTAGCTACAATTTGGTTATATCCTTTAGTTCTTTATTAGGTGGCTAGAGTTGACTAAGTTGAGTGCCACTAATTTGGTGGTCGAGATTTAGCCATGCCAAAAATTAGCTTGGCTATTTGGAAGCACCTCTGATAAGAAAAACAAACAGGCTCTAAGGATCAGAGATATCAGGCTCTAAGAAAAACAAACAGGCGGAGCTCACTCATCCAGTCATCCCCTGTCCTCAAATCAAGATCATATATAAACATGATTCTTGCTTCCTATCATCTTTGATCTGGTCTAGATTACAGTTTCGAGCTATTTCCAGTTTCCATGCTAACTAGCTTGTGAGGAAACTTCTGATCGTTGGTCGCCGTCTGGCATTGTCTGGACCTGGGCAGCATATTGCAGGTTCCAGAGAACTTCTTCGATGGAAGGTCGGGCCGAGCATTCGATGGACAGGCATTTTATCATAATTGAAACCACAATGGATAAGGAATCCTGTGAAGAAGTGCCAATAATGACAGGATCCACAACTTGATCGCGCTCTTCCAAAGTTGACATTGACACAACCTGCAGATACAGGCAAAAGTTAGTTCGATTGTTTCGATCCTCTTTGTTTTTCTCTCCCATGGGCAGTAAATGTATGTGTAAGTATGGTTAGAACAATGATCATATCAGACTTCACAAAGGGATGAAGGTCAAGCTTAGATCACAGATAACTATTCCAGTTAATTAAGATGCATGGCCACTTCATAAAAAAAAAAGAAGGTAAGATGCATGGCCCTTTTGGCAAATGGTGAAACCAAACGCGAGATGGTTTACTGGTATTTTGCATATGTACTGCATCAAATCACAAACACTGGGGAAAGTATGATGCTGAATGGAGTCAAATCCCAACCAACACAGAAGGTATTTGAAGTGTTTTAAACAGCCTAAAATCCTCGTGAGATTAACTAAGCTACTCAGCATCAAACAATCTCTATCCAGTATTTATA